CAATATAAATTCCGTTTCTGATACTATATTTACTTTGTATACACTACTGTGAACTTACTTTACAAAATAATTGTTTTGCGCTTGATTGAATTCTGCTTTAAAAAAGTTAAAAGAAGCAGATATGGACTAGATGTTCAAGTCTGTATAAACTCTTTCATTACACCATAAAGTTCACATCACAGTCAGAGTGCTCAGTATTTCTGATCTGACCAGGAGACTCCTGATTTTCAGATTTTTCTCGTAATAAAACTTCTCCTGATTTCAGGAGCTGATTTTTAAGACTTTCGCCTAATTTCTCCTAATTTTCAATTGTTTTCCTGCATCGATTTTGTTTTTTCCAAAACTGAGATTACCAGTTTCAGAAACAGAATTTCTGGGTCAAGAATCTAAATAATTGTACATTGATCGAGTCCGCTGTGTGCTTATCGAACGTTCTCATGTCTTCTCGAACTGTACGAAATAGCTACTTGACGACAGGCGCCCGAATGAAGAGAGTGAGAAAGAGAGAGGATCTTATAGAATGATTGTTTTTCTGACTGTCTGTGGTGTGCGCAAAATAGGAAAAACGGCTGTTAGATATTCCATGGATAAGCCAATCATATAAGCCAGATTAACGAATATCGTTATCTTTGCGAATTAGTTCCTACTCCACCTGTTACTACTTATCATCTTCGAAGTCGTACTCGCTTTGATGTTCCTATAGCTAGACGAGGACTAGCAGTTTTTGACGACACGTTTTTTCCAGAAACTCCGCGTCTATGGAATGCTCTTGATGTCTCCACTCGGTCTATAGTTAATCGACAACGATTCAAATGAGAGTTAATGTATAGGAATGTTTCAAGTCTCTGTTTGCCTATTGTATGAAACAGACGACTTGAAGTCGACTTTACTAGATGTATAGTAGGATTCAGTCAATTAAACTTTGATCTATTTACCCATGCGTGTGTTCAGTCTCCATTGTGTATTTGCAATAAAGCAAATGAAACTATCTATCATTACCTTTTTGATTGCGAGATGTATAATTCTGAGCGTCAATCTTTACTACAAATTATAATGACTGTTCTTCAAACAGACACAGTTACAATTGGTCAAATTTTGCTTCAAGCTGCTATTGTAAGATGTCTGTCTAGGGATGACTTGATTCTTATATATAATGCTATCTTAAATTATATTGCTGATACGAAACGTTTTGTTCAGTCTTGATGCTGTTGCCTCTTATCTTCCACCTTCTATGCAAAGTTCATACAGACAGCAATTTTTTATGTTTACATTTTTTTCCTCTATTAATTGTTTCCCCTCACCATGATATTATTGCTACAGATCATTCCTTTAGTATTTGTACATGTCTATCTCATTTACTTTATTCTCATCTTATTATACTGTTTTCTTTTGCTTCATATTTTATTGTACTGTATAGAGTCTGTGGCATATATGATTACGCTTTGCCACTTTACTAATGTAGAAAATAAATGGTTTAAAAAAAAAGAAAAATAGAAAAGAATATCGTATCTTTTGTTAGTTTATATTGTACCCATTTTCGTAACCGTTCAATCAAACAGATCCCTCCCGTAATCGTCAACCCTTTAGCCAAACAAGGGTCTAAGATGTTGGTCTAAAAACTTTGGGATTTTCATAGATGGAGATTTACTTCCGGCAACTATGGGTCTCAAAGGCGTATTCGGTTTATGGGCTTTTGGCAAAAAGTACAAATATACCAGTTCGGCTGAGACTGAATCAACTGACATGTTCTCTACATGTGTTTGTGTTATCTTCTTTTCTTGCCATAAACGGCGCAGAAAATGATTAGTTTTGACAACTAACTCCTGTAATGGGTTTTTATCTCTTACTATCTCATATACATTAGTTTTTATCATGTACTTCTGCACTTTGTCTTTATAATCAGATGATTTACCTAATTGGAAGACTTTTGATTTATCAGTTTTTCGAAGAATCGCTTTCGTCTGCTTTATTCGGAAATTCAACCTTTTGACCAGGTGAATTAAGTTTGTCTACCGCGTACGTCAGATTCTAATGTATTATAACGGGTTTGACTTTTCTACTTCAGTATAATGCATTCTAATGCTATAAATACCCCACACCAGTTTTTATGGCGCTATAAGTAGATAAAACATATAATGTATTATAACGCATTATATTGAAGTAGAACACTCATACGCGTTATAATACATTAGAATCTAACGTATTATAAGGCGGTACATAAACCTAATTGAGTTGTAACAAGATAAAAAACTGAAACGCATTATAATGCCATAAATTTATAGAGTTGTAATGCAATGCAAATTTTTATCCAGTTACAACGCCATAAATTCCGAAAAAATAGCTTTGTAACGCGTTATAACACGCTGGGCTACGTGTATCGCGTTATAATGCCATAATTTAAAAAAAGCATGTTTTATAGAGTTATAACACTATAAACAGGGAAAAAAAGATCCTGTGTGAATAGTTAGAAGTAGAACTGGGCAAACATGAAACAAGCATTTTACTACTACCATGGGATATCAATCCCTTTATACACGACTTTTTCCTGCAAACTTGGAGACCTTATCTCATTCATCATTTTCAAAAAAACTTTCTCGTCTTGAGAGGGGGTTTCAACCAATGCGATATGCATTACAAATATAGGGAAGACCACTTTGAATTGTCGTAAAAATCAAAACGAGAGGGATTCTATCGGCATGCTATTTATGTGATCATCTACTCTAATCATTAAGTAGTTTAGTTATCTTTTTGGTAGGGTGATGCATCCTATTTTCATGACCGGTGGAATCAATTATAAACTGAATTATACTAGCTTTATAAACTGAAGCAGAAAGGCACATCGACGAGATGTTGGAATGGTTCGATTCGTATCTTAATGGAAGGGTCATCGTTACCATGACCAATGGAAAAACGTCTACTGCTTAAAGATTGGATCGAGGAATATTTTAGATCAATCTGTCAATCTGGGAGTATCTCCTCTTTCTTATTTTCATTGATAATACAGTTCTAAATATAAAGTATACTTGTCGATCGTTTGCGGATGATGTATTACTTCACACAAAGCATCCATCTTTTACAGTCATAACCAGTATGTTAAATTTCGATCTCGAAATAATATATAAATGATTTATTTCACGGTAACTTTATTTTAAGTATTAAAAAATTTGAATTGAAGCTTAGTGGGAGAGCAGTGAACACTGCGCTAAATCTAGTTTCCATCAATAACACTCCTTTAATAATACTTAATGACACAACCATTTCGGTCTGTTTTTTAACAGCTTCTCTTCATTCGATAAGCATGTCACGTATGTTCACAATAAATGGCCATATGTCTGACCATGTGCTCAACAAAAAGATACATTATAGTGTCGAACACTTGCTACACCTCTGAAATGGCTTTTGATTCTAGCAGACATTAAAAAAGTCTCGGTCATATTCAATATTTGAGAACAAGCTATCTAACATCAATAGTATTATTATAAGTAAAAGGAGTTCAAATTTCGGTAATATTACAGCTCAAAATACGAATTGAAAAGGAGAAGATATTCAATATGAGAAAAAGTCATTAATAGACAGCCAAAAATCAAAATGCTCCCAGTTATTCACCTTATTTCGAATGCAACATTTCTACTGGTCAACATTCCTATTATGGATCAAATAATAGATAGAAAATACATTCACTCGTACACGTAGTTGTCTGCTTTGGCCATGAGTTTCTTTCTACCGTTAAGAATCATTGCACTTAAACATTCCCTAAACGAGCATGAACTTTTCGATCAGAACAACGCTACCTATTATCGGATGGCTATTGGCACTCCCGAACGTGTCAACTAGAAGCCTAATTAGTCAGAATCTAGCTATGTAATAGGATTATACAAAATGGATATGCACCACTGAAGGCTGATTTAGACATTTGAAAAAGTCTTTATGAGAAACATCTGTGGATTTATGGGAACTTCAGGCTATAGTAAGGAAATACAGAAAACATCACTTTACAACAGCTTTTGGGCGACATTTGGTATTTAAATTTTTCTTACTCAGATTCAATCACAAAAGTTTTGTTTTATCTGTGTTTTTGAAGTTCACATGTTGACTGGAAAACGATAATACAACGAAATTTTTTCATTATTAGATTTTTTCTTAAGAGAGTATGAGTGCCATTTCGTGTTTGCCATGTAACATTATACAGTAAAGAGGATGAGTAACACATCAAATATTTGTTGCCTACCAATAAGTATTATTCATTCTGTTTGCATACCATGTTACCTGACGAACATGTAATGGCTAAAGTAAAAGAAATATTATATCACAGTCATACGTGATGGCTGGTTTTTTCCAACTTATTTATGTTTTACAAATATTCTCGCAAAGCTTTCTACTCTTTCAGTGGTTAACCGTCCACTTTACTATTCAAAACATACCTTTTTAAGATTCTATTTATGAACAAGGAAAGCATCAAAAAACATAAACAAAGACGAAGGAAAGAACAGCCTCATTGTCCTTGGTTCCACAATTTAATCGAGAAAACACCTCGTCCAATCCACGCTTTAGAAAGAAACAAGGAAGATGTGACAATAATATGGTTGAATAGTGGTATTAGCGACAGCTCATCCGCTGAGTTACAACAAGTACTAGCACAACTTCAAAGAATTAATAACTTTCGTATTTTATCATGCGACAATCTACAACGTTGTGTGGAAGATATTAAAACGGCAATAAACGAGGAAATATTTTTAATCGTTTTTGATTCCTTGGCTAATGATGTAGTGAGCGAAATTCATTCACTACAAACAGTTAACATTATTTTTACGGTTTCATTAAATCGAGATAATGGTTTATGGGAACAACAATGTCGTTGGATAGATTATTATAAGGTCAACGACGTAACTCCCGGTTCACTAATGATATCTGTTTGAGATAAAATCTATTTGTCAGGCAAAAACACATTGACATTTAGTGTGTTCAATGATGAGAAACAACGAAGATCAACAAAAGATTTGATGAAAGAATCAGCTCCCTTCTGTTTATTTCAAATATTATTTGTATTTCTTCGACAAATGTCTCAAACTCAAGAATCCAAAGAACAAATGTTAGATTATTGTAAAAGTTGTTCTAAAGAGGATAAAGCTGAATTAAAGAAAATTAAAGATTTTCGTAACACATATGATCGTAAAAAAGCAGTAGAGTGGTATACCAAAGACTCTTTTATTTATCGTCTAGTTAACAGAGCCTTGACAAGAGAACCTATTTATGCTTTGTATTTACTTCGATTTTATATTACTGATTTATATTTAGAAATTGAAGGAACGAAATCGACGAGGTCAACAGAAACTACCTATCGTGGACAGATAATATCAAAAGAAGAAATCGATATGTTAAATGATAATTCTAAAAATGTAATTTCAGTAAGTAGTTTCTTCTCAACAACACGTAACCCTCTGGTTACCAAACGAATGATAGAAGAAGTAGCGAATACAGAAAATCTGGTCTGTGTTTTATTTGAAATTGAAGTTAATCATAAAATGAAACCAAACGTTTGCATTGATATTCACAAATATTTGGGGATAACATCAGAAGAATCTGAAGTTCTCTTCAATCTTGGTACGGTATTCAAAATTAAATCAGTTGCATTTGATGATGAAATTGCAGCTTGGAAAGTCAATATGGTGACAACAAATGGGATATTAGATTTTCAAGATTATCTTAAGGCATATAAAACTGAAATAACAAATATCAACGAATTGTTTGGTAGTTTTTTTCGTGCGATAGGTGGACATACTACAGCAGAACAATACTTTCAATTAATGTTAAAAAATACCGATAGGTCACAGGAAGCTACTGATATATATGATAATATAGGAGATATCAAACTGGAGATAATGCAATTATTAAGTGCATTAAAACATTACAAAAGTGCATATGAAATTCGAAAGTAAGAACTGCCTCATACACATCCTGATATTGCCATGTCCATGGCTGAAATTACAGTTATTTATCTTCGTACACGTAAATATAATGCTGCAATTAAGTTATTTAAACAATCGTTAGAAATTGACCGAAAAAATGATGATAATGACAATATAGCTCAAGATTTTCGAAATCTCGCCCTAGCATATACAGCAAACGGTAAATATGCTATTGCTTCTCGTTATTTGAGAAAAGCATCTAATATGCAACGAAAACTGTCGCCTGAAAATCGTTTGATTTATGCAAGTACTCTTATTAATATTGGTTTAATTAATTCTAAACAACAGTCTAATCGTGCGCTTGAATATTATTTTCGTGCGCAAAAAATATATAAAAAATTATTACCGTTTTCTGATCCTAGACATTTTGATCTACTAATTTGCATTGTCAATTGGTATAACGCGAAAAAACAATATAAAACAGCAGAATTATATTGTAAAAAGTCACTCAGACAACAACAAAAAACCCTACCTGAAAATTATCTAACTATTGGTAAAACGCTATTCACAATTGGCGATATACTAATGGATTCAGATTAAAAAAAAAGCACTAGATTATTTTAAAGAAGCTTTACATATACTCAAAAAATGTGCATCATGCCCATATTACGAAACAGCTGTATGTTTCACTCGACTAGGTCAATTATATTATCAAACACCACATCTAGCATTAGAATATTTTATGAAAGAATTAGACTTTAAACAAAAATTGCTTTTACCACATGATCCTCGATTAGCCGCCACCATGATACATATCAGCAGGATGCATCTCAGACTAAAGAATTATGATACGTCGTTGAAATATTTGAAGAAAAGTTTAAAAATATATAAATTAGGATGCTTATCGAACGGTCAAGGTATTCGACAAATTAAAAAGGTGAAAAAATGTTTACAGATTTATTTAGAAAGAGTTTAAAAAAATATAGTGATGGTTTTACAATGTGACTTTTTATCTTTGGTTGTACTTTCTTTCATTGCTAAATAAAAAGTCTTACTTTAAGCAAGTTTTAGCTGGCGCTGAACTATCAAAAAACAGTTTTACAACAAAGAAAAGAAAGTTGCTTTTTCTTGATGCTTACATACATTTTAAAACAAGCACTGCGAAGAAACAGAACTGATTGTAAGATTCTGATGTTCTGTGAGCGCAGCAGTCAATTTCAATAAAAGAAAAAAATAACAATGACCAATGACAAAGAAAAATAGCTAGAAATGAATCAAATTTAACTAGAATTAAATGAATTAAAAAGCTGTTATTAAACCCGTTGGCGTTAGTGGTATATCATAGAGTGCAATGCAAAACCTTTATTAAAACGAAGTGTCATCAGTGATGGAGCAAATATAAAAACAAGGGGTGCTGCAAACGTTTTTCCCTTTTTTTGTTTCTACTATTGCTTTCTCTCAAAACATCCGCAAGAGTTAATTGTTTTTTCGTTGGAAAGATCGAAAGAACTCCATCTTCTTCCCCCAAGGCTTACTGTAATACACCAGAAATTCATCTTCCTTCCTGATGGTTTCTTCTTTTCACACCAGAACTCCATCTTATTGCATCAAAACTTAGTACTTAGCAGCTTTTTCTATCGTAAGAAGAATCGGATCAAAAAGTGAGTTCTAAAGCTATGGAAAGACCATTACAAAAAGCGGTAAGGACCACTCTGCAGTATAGACCTTACAGTTGTCACTACCTTGTGTCTAGATGGGGTAGCTCATTTGTCAGAGTGTACAGTTATGTTGAGCGGTCTAGTCTTGTTGTAGAAGTTTAGCGATGAGATGTACGTAATTTAATAGTTAATTTTAATGAGACCAACAATTCATTCTAACATGAATCATTCATTGTTAATTGAGAGCCATCGGTGAACTATAATATTTGTTCGAACTCTTGTTGACTGTCAGCTAGTAGCAACAAGTTTATATCGGATCTCGGCGATACAAAGAAAGTCCCTATTGCATCTATTGGGAGGGCGTCAAGGTTTTAACTATGCGTATAACTTTTTTATATTGTTCTTTGTAAAGGTATTAATAATGTCATAGGAAAGAAAAACTCAATTTTCTTCATGCTGTTACTCCTTCCAGTTTATTAGTAGGTGACTGTAGGGACGAAAACAAATAACGTTTCTATACTGCCTATTATAATTCAGGTTGCCAGCATTTATTTTTCTTTGTGCATTATTTTTTCAACGTATGCACTCCATCAAACTAACTACTGTAAGAGTAATCAACTTTTAAGCATAATAATAAGTGCTTTTAATGTTGTTACTCTTTTAGGACAATAGCAGGCAAGTGATATGTGAAACCTAGTATCGCCTAGCGTCACTTCAAACCAATTGAGTTAAACCAGATTCAATTGATTTGATTTCTAGTAGTTAGGGCTGTACCAAACCGTTCTTTCCACTTGCAATATCAAGAAAACTTCAAATCTAACATAAGTAAGGGCTCTAAAGAACAATGGTCTTTTATTAGTTGATCAAAATAAAAAATTATTTTTTACTTCAGCTTTATGAATCAAGCTTTCGCAATACAATGAGCGTATTTAGAAGTGTTCAAAAAACATTTTGAAAAAAGTTATTTCTAAAAGGCAGCTAGCTTTCATTTTTAAATTGAATGATAAATAAAATCAAATTTTACGTTGGTTTAAATTTCAACAATCTGCGGTAATATTCTTGATGATGGTCACATTCTTTTCTTGACTTGTATATCTCTAGCATATGACATTAATGTTTTATCTAAATAATCGCACGCGACTTCGCAGCCTCGTAAGTTGGATTAACTGAACTGTCTGCTGATTAGCGTGACGTTGGTGCACATTTATTTCTTCGAGTAAATAACTAGTTGTATTTGGTTGTACAATATATCAAGTATGTAGACGAGTTTGGATTGCATTTAGAGCTTGTATCCACATTTCAGTGATACTCGTATTATTCGAACGAAGAAGACTTAGAATCTGATATGCGTTCCTTTTATTCTAGAGTTTGGACAGAATGAGCATTGCGACGTACAATACAGTTTCTCCTGTTAGTCTTTGTGGTTTTTCGGAAAGCTAGTACGTGGTTAGTGAGTATCAGACTATATCAGACAAGACCTCTGGCCATAGGTGCAATTGATGACTAATAATGCTATGGGGGACCATGTCAGAATGTTGTCAACTGTAATGAAGATGTCAGTCTATTAAAAACTGACATTTGTCAGCAATTTACACGGGCGACGATAGCGCGATATCCTTTCTTTTTTTCCTCTTCATTCTAGAATAAACACTCAGATTAAAGTTTATCTTTAATACGAAAAACAAATAAGTGATATGTTTCTGTACACAAGGTCGTCTCTTTATCTTCCATATAAACATTGCATACTTCATTTCATTTTCCGATAATTAAAGCATATTTTTGTATTCATTGCAATAGAAAGAAGAAAAGTTATTAAAATCACTAATTTTCTCTTTTTCTTTTGTGCTCAGGTTGCTCTCTGGCTCTTTACAATCTCCATGTTTATTTCTTATTCTAACAAACAAGCAAACACTACAAAATTTCGTTACCGAAATCTATAATTGATTATTGAATAAAAAAAGAAGAAAAGCGGAAGTATAGAAAAAAGTATTTGCACTTTTTTCAATATTTAAATTATTAGCATGAAGTTTTTTTCCTGTGTTTACAAGTACATGAACCTTTCTGCTAGCACATAAGATCGTGAAATATTGGAGACAATGAAAGTATTGCTATATTATATTATTTTACACTTGGGTAGGGTTCGTGTGGACAATTATAAGAAATTTTCATGAATCCAAAGTATAAAATAAAACCGCTGAAACTAGTTGAGATGCAGCTAATGCAAAAGTCGAGTCAAATTTATTTTTCAGTTTAGTATACATATTCTGATTCATCTTATCGAACTGATCACGAATATCACCTTTTTAATCCTTAAAAATCCTTTCTTCATAGATAAAAACTCGAAATACTGAGAGGGTCTCAAAAATCACCTCTATCATAGAACTGACTTTTTGAAGTCGTATTACAAGATGAAAGGTTCAAACTTTTTCTGAATTAGCGTTAAAAACTGATTTAGAAACGGATGCTCAGTTCACCTTAGAGGTAAACACTTGTCCGCCGTGGACGTTCAAACCAATGGGTGTCTACAACAGTTTCTTATGGAACAGATTTCATATTGTGAGTTTAGAAGACACAAAAGCGATAGGAAAAGACAATCACCTATTCACATGATCAGTGAACCTTTTGCTAACTATGTTGAGTAATAAAATTTCAGCAGTTCAGAAGTGACAGGGCGACTGAATATTCATTTTATTCTCTCCTTATCAGAGATCATCTCTAGGGGTGTTAATATAGTGTTACTTTGGAAAATAAATATAAATGAATCATTTACTTTTATAAAATAAAGATAATTTTTTTATTTATTTATTTATATTTACTTTTTAAATATAAATGATTCATTTATATTTATCCGTTATTATCAATGAACAATAAAACTAAATTAACACCCCTAATCATATCCATAATGACGTGCCCTTTTGTCTTATATTTCCTGTCCATTCGGGCCTTTTGTATCCTTTTTTTCCGGTGAATTTTAAAATTCTTTTAAGTAGGGTGTTAGATCCGGTATACGTTGTTGTGTATAAGTAGTTTATTAAGTTACTGAAGATGAACTGTCTTGCTCAAAAATAGCGTATATTTATATTTAAGTTTACACGAAAAGTGGAATATTCCACAGTTGATAAAATACACTGGGAAACTGGGGATACATGTAAGAGATCACAGAAACTAAAGAAACCAAGAACTAACACTGGGGAAAATCCTGATAGAAAGAAAGAGAACGAAAAAGATACATACAGTAGACAATAAGAAATAACACTGGGGAAGTTCCTGACAGCAAGAAAGAGAACGAATATATATATATATATGTATGATACCTATCATACAATTCTCTCTTATGGCACGTCTTTAATACGTGCCATAACACCTCCCCCCATAAAAAACAAGATGAACTTCCACGGTCATCTTGGAGGAAACCAATGTCATAGTTCTTTGCTATTCAATGTTCCGGTACTGCCACTACCATGCTCATTGAATCGAAGTTGCAACTGACTGACGTAGATGCCTTGACATTGAACTATCATTATCGTTGCGTTTAATTGATTGTTGAGATCAAGAGATACTCATGAAACATATCGTGTGTATATAGGTTTTAAATCACTGACATGGACATGTTTAGTTGCCGAGGAATGAGAATCTTGGATTGTATAGGACGGATGTTGTTTGTTGATGACTATGTATGGACCTGAAAACCTTTCTTCGAATTTCCATTTTGGTACGTACATGGCCAGGTAGCTTCCAAAGTACCGAATCATTAATTTCGTATTGTGGATCATTACGATTCCGGTCAAAACGCTGCTTAGAGTGTTGTTGATGAGGGCGTATACGTTGAAGAGCTGCTTCACGATAGACATTCATAGCCTTCATCATGTGCATCCAATAGTCATTTGGGCGATTAAACTGGAATAGCCTTGATGTATGATCAAGTGGTAACACAGGGTGTCTACCAAACATTAACTGAAATGGACTGTGTCCTGTATTTTATGCATAAATTACCGGTGGTTGGTAGTCATCCCAATTGTTCAGATCTACATTGTATAGTTTCGCCAGCTGAGGATGAAATGTGCCGTTGGACCTTTCCACCAATCCGTTCGTTTGCGGATGATATGCAGCGGACTTGATATGATGCGTTCCTAACAATAACGTTAAATTGTGCATGAGTTCATTATTGAAGTGCACACCTTGATCCGTTACCAGTCGTATAGGAACACCGTATTTGAAGACAAATTGTTCAACAAAACATCTAGCTGTTATGGCTGCTGTATTATCCGGAAGCGGATGCGCTACAACGTATTTCGTATAATAATCAGTGATAACAAGAACGTATTTGTTTCCATTTGTTGAGTACTGCGGTGTGGGACCTCAGAAGTGCATACCAATTAATTCTAAAGCGCCTTGTGCGTATTCTATTGGTAGTGAATGACCAGGTGCTTTTGTTCGACGAACATTGAATCTGGCACATTTGTCGCAGAATCTAATGTAATTTTGAACTATCTTCTTCGTACCAAGCCAATAGCATGATTTGCGAAGTTTGAGCCAGGTTCGATTGAGTCCAAAATGAGCACCAGTTGGATGATCGTGATAACATCGAATCACTTCCTCTTGCATTGATAATGGAATGTATATTAGTTTAGTTTTAGTAAATGCAGGTGGTAGTCGTATCATTTTGTATAAAACATCATTTTCTATTATATAAGTTGGATCACTGGTGTTTCGTCTGGATAATTGTTTCCTGATGTGAGCTATTTGAGGATCACGCTTCTGTTCCTCACTAATGCGTTCGAAACTGAAATCGAATGTCATTACGGTCGATACCGGAGTATCATCATTAGTTATTGAAATTGATTCATTGTCGTTACTATTTGATGTGCGACAAACAACAGTTTTCGTCATTGATCTCGTCATAATATTTAATGATGGCTGTTGATCATTGACTTCCGGTCGTGACATGCCATCTGCATCATCATGATTTCGACTTTTCTGTATTTGACTTCTATTATTTGTGGAAGTATATCTTGGTGTTTAATTAACCATCTCGCAACTCGTTTGCTATTGAATTTCCGCTTCTTGTGAAATTGTTCAATGGTTTGTGATCCGAATGAATGATGACATCCCTTCCACCTAAGTATTGCTGCAATTTTTCCATGCACCAGAAGATGGCCAATGCCTCTCGGCCTATCGTTGAATAATTCTTCTCGGTTGGTGTTAACAATCTAGACAGAAAGTAATTATAATGAGTTTGACCGTCTATAATTTGTTTTAATGTGCCGCCAATCGCATACTCCGATGCATCAGTAGCCAAAATAAACGGTGCAGTTGGATGAGGATACTTCAATACTAGTGGTTCTTCTGTTAATACTTGTTTTAACTTATTTGCTGCTTGAAAAAATGAATCCTCATGCCAATAAAATTCTCGTTTTTTCTTCTTTGTCTTGTTGGTGACTTTATGGATAGGAGCAGCTAATTCAGTAAACTTTGGAATAAATTTCCTATACCATCCAATTTTTCCAAAAAATTTGTTTGCTTGAGCCAATGTTGTGGGTTGAGGAATATCAAGTGTGGCTTGAATACGTTCCTTAGATGGAATAATTGCATCTTTTGTGATTGTATGGCTTAAAAATTCAATTGGTTGTTTAGCTAATGAGCATTTATCAGGATTTAATGTAAATCGATGCTCACTTAATACACTGAATACATCTTGAAGGTGTTTCATATGTTCGTCAATTTGAAAATATTAAAATATCATCGAAGTATACTAAAACATAATCCCACCGTTTATAGCCGATGATATTATTCATCACTCGTTGAAAAGTGGATGGAGCATTCATCGACCCCATGGGTAATACTTCAAATTGATATAAACCATCCTGTGTGATAAACGCTGTCTTTCCCTTGTCGGCGTGTTGAATGGGTATTTGATAATACCCACTTTTCAAATCTAATTTGGTAAACCAAGAATGACCACCTAAGCGTAGTAAGAGTTCCTCAACCGTAGGTTGTGGATAAGAATCATTTTTGGTAATCGAATTGAGTCGTCTGTAATCAACAATAAATCGAAATTCTCTATTTGGCTTTCGCAATAACACCATCGGTGATGATCACGGAGAATGTGACGGAACAATTATACCACTTTTTAACATTTTATCTATCTCTTGTTGAACATTTTTACGTTGATCAATGGTCTTAAAGTATGGCTTTGCATTTACCGAAGAATGCTCACCTGTGTCGATTACATGATGTATCTTGGTCTTGATCGTTCTTGGTTGAGAGGTATCAAACAGTACACGATGTTCTTGTAGAAAATTTAGTAATTGTTGATATTGTTGTTCATTGATTTTGAGATGCTGGCTTAATGAGTCAGTAATAGTATTTAATGGTACAGTTTGTGCTTCTTTTTCTTGGTTGACATCACATTCCTGCGTTATTCCATTTGAAAATAATGTTGAACAATATGTATCTGAAGCCAAATGATCAATTGTTTCCAAAAACATACGTCTGGGAAGTGTTACTAATTTCTTTGTGGGATTATAAATCGTTAATTGAACAATATTATTCTAGACATCCGCAATTCCTTCACCAAGGCGAATTTGTTTACATGCTTGAGTCGTCTCATCAATTGCCTTGTATAATAGATTATTCGCACTTGCTATACCAGACGTGGTAGCGTCAACGACACATTTACACCTAGGAAATATTATGCAATGTTGGGTCAATCTTACAGCTTTTGGCTTTTCAAACTTGGCATATATTTTTCGTTGTTGATGATGCATAATAAGGCATTGCGGTCCGGTTTTGATCTCTACTTTGAACTTTCGTATAAAATTCATACCTAAAATGAAGTCAGTTGTCAGATCATCAACTATCATTGCAATGATCCATAGTTCAAATTATTTATTCTTAAATTTAGAAAGATCCATCCGTATTGAGTCATTTTCGTTTTTGAATCGCCCAATACTATGGCACTCGATTGTTTGTAAATTTGATTTTGACAATTTAAGTTGATAACCGCAGACATTGTAATCAATGAACATGTTGCTCCCGTATCCATCACAGCCGAAATTTTCTTGTTATTGATCCATGTTGGAATAAAAATTAATGATGGTAAATCTTTATTAGCGAGAGCAGTACCATCGTGAACTCCCGTTAGTAGTTTTTTGAGAAACAATCGCGAGCAAAATGACTTACTCTATTACATCGATAACATCTAGCTTTTGATGATGATTGCGAAGGTTGCTGTAGTTGTTGAGGGTAAGATCTGATAGGGGATTTAATTGTGGATACAGAACTAGTATGTGATGTTTGGACATTGTCCATTTGCATAGTTAATGACGAGTTCAATTTTTCTTCCACTTGTGCCACTTCCAGGAATTGTGCCGGGGTTTTTGGGTCCTGTCGCATCACATCTTTTTTTAAAGAAACTTTGAGACCTGCTTTCAGATATGCAACTTTTAATTGACCATTCATATCCGTATCCATCATGTCATTATAATAATGCAAAATAGTTTCATCAAGCCCTTGTTGACGCGCACCAATTTTTTTTATAGCTAGCTCTTGGTGCAGTGTTGATGAAAATGTTTTTTGTATTTGAATCGTAAATATAGACCACTCTGTTATCACAGACATATTGTTGATGAACCAGCGACGAGCGTCATCCAAGAGAAATGTTTGAATCACAGATGGTTTTTGATGGTCATTAAGGTTAACCAGATTCAATTCATTTGTAATATCAAGCAACCATTTTTTCACATTTTCATTACGTTTACCACCAAATTTTGGTAATTTTTCCAAATTGTTCGATAGTATACTGTTAACTAGTTTTTCCGTCATCATAAATGAAATAGGACCATATACAATATGTTGTTGTTCCGTTGGATTATTTATTTGGTCAACTTCAATAACACTCAATCGTTTCAATTCTTCACTAACCTGTAATTGGTCGAATTCTTCTTGTTTGCGCAACTGTTGTCTTGTTTGTACCATATACACAATCAACACCGGCTAGTGCACCGCTTGTTAGGTCCGGTATACATTGTTGTGTATAAGTAGTTTATTAAGTTACTGAAGATGAACTGTCTTGCTCAAAAATAGCGTATATTTATATTTAAGTTTACACGAAAAGTGGAATATTCCACAGTTGATAAAATACACTGGGAAACTGGGGATACATGTAAGAGATCACAGAAACTAAAGAAACCAAGAACTAACACTGGGGAAAATCCTGATAGAAAGAAAGAGAACGAAAAAGATACATACAGTAGACAATAAGAAATAACACTGGGGAAGTTCCTGACAGCAAGAAAGAGAACGAATATATATATATATATGTATGATACCTATCATACAATTCTCTCTTATGGCACGTCTTTAATATGTGCCATAACATAGGGCCATTGCGATAAGAAATGTGTCTACACTAGTCCTGTTTCTCAGCTAACCCAATTAATATGCTTATTATTTTGAGAATAGTAAAGAGTACATAGCTTCTCCTACTTTACTTACTTTTAATATTTCAAAATTGAATTTTAGTAGGCAGCTAGCAAAATTGAAGATATCTCTTCTCGCACATGCACGACGTATATCTCCAAGATATCTTCAAGATATACGTGTATATATCTATCAATGATAGATATTAGAGCCGTATCAAATAAGGAATATCTCTATCTTTTCACAACTTAGCAAATGTTAGCAAATGTCTACATTTGCCAGTTGTGAAAAGATAGAAATATTCCTTATTTGATACGGCTCTATTCTCTTTTTCTCTTTCGCCGTGTGAAGAAAGAAGGAAAGTTAGTGCACCGTTGTTTTCATTCACCATTTTATTCTATCAACACTGTTTTAAACTTTTTTCTGCCCCGTTCTTTTACGTCACATATATCGCAATATTTGCACACGCATATCTCGTGCTAGAAGAGATACCCATGGGTAAAATTTTTGTAAAAAAGTGAAATTAAGTTCGTAACTTGGTGCACATTTACGAAAAATTTACGCGTAAACACACAGAAACATCGCCGTAAGCTCCAGCTTAATTACGGCTAGTTGTCCGTTAGATGACCGTTATTAACACCGTAATTACGTGTAAAAATAATGCTTTTTTCGATTAATTAGGTAATATTATATTAACTCCTAAAAACATTTTATCCGACTCCGTCATACTGACTTATCTGTCGAATCTACCCTAATCGATCGAATATAGTTACCAGACTATACACACAGTCGAACACCACTATAAGTTTTTTTGCTTCTCATTGGTCTACATAGTAAGGTCTACTTATGAAATATGATGGAGGAAAAACGAAGAAGATTGTTTTGCTCGTTGACAAAGACTCTTCTGTGTCTTTTTTATACTGCAAAAATATTTGCTGTTTTGTGTTTAGACTGAGCTCGAATATAAACTACTTATTAGCGTAATACAATAGTTAGTAAGTTACAATCAGTTGTTACTCGTCATACCTCAATTGTCTTAAAAGTATATACAGAGCTCACACATTTTGGCACGTACAATATTTCCTGCGGTTTACACGTAAAACTTTGTAAAAATTACGTCTAGTTACGTATGAGTGTATTTTACGACAGTTTACGCGTGCACTCCGTTAAAACATTACACGTGTTTACACGTAAACTTTTCTTACGACTGTTTACCTGTGAAAGTTCGTTAAAAAAATTTATATGTGAACACACCTATTGTTTTAACGGAGTTTACATGTAAGTCTTCGTCAGTTTCATAAAAAAGGCCATACTTTATTAAAAAGTCTTGCCTTTTCTTCTTGCTTTTATGGAGCGTCAATACTATAATCTTGTAGAATTCTTTTTATCTTTACCTCTACTGAAAGAGAAAAATGAGTAAAGGAGCACAGGCAGATGTTCAGTACTCAAATCAAAATAAGAAAGGAAGGAAAGGAAAATTATTCAAGAGAAACAACGTTTTTGTTCTTAATACGAGCGTAAGAATGAATTTTTGCTTCTTTTGTATATCAGAAAATGTCGTTATGAGGCAATCTGAATGCCTTCACTATAGTTTGCACTCGCTACCTAAAACCATAGAGCAGACATTATAGTTAGCTGAGTGTATTTTCGAACTCAACAACTGCTACGCCATTTTAAGACTGCAGAACTTCCACATATTAAATGCCGGGTGAGTGCTCAGCCTAACACACTAAGATTTTATGAAATTTTTAGCCTGTCTCACGCTTTGGTCAGTCCCAAATACTTACAAATATGATATTTGTAATGTTCTCGAACAACGAATGCATATTCACTTTTAGTTGCGACATGATTTTAATTCCTGAATCAAAAGCAAGATCAGCAAAGATTAACGAAAGTGCGCGACATAATGAATAAGCAAACATTATCATTTCCATCTCACTTTTCAACTCTTTCAGCACTACTGTCATGATTGAAAGGCAGACAGTGCATAAACAGAAGTACTCTTCAACAAAACCAGCCACTCCATCACCGCCCTCCATTGCTATCAAAACATCTTCAACCAACAAGATACAAGCCATAAAGTCAACAGCGCTAATGGCAAACACTTCTGAAATACCATCTCCTACTTACTCAAAAAGCAATGAGAATACACAACAAACATCTTCTACAACTACTGTTTCGCTTCATCCAGTACCACTAACTACTCCTCTTGCTCAGAGAACGCTACATGATGAAAACAAAGAAAGTGTGATGCTCATCTGGTTTGATGCCAACATCGATTCAAATGATGACACAAAGAGAACGATGAAATGCTGAGAGAACTCAATGACTTTGTCATTTTCCACACAGAGCTCGACTCATGCATTGACCATGTCAGACATATTCAGAATGAAAAAGTGTTTGTTGTGACACCAGACATATGTGCCGTCCACCTTCTCCTCATATCGAGACTCTATCTCAAATCGATTCCATTTTCATCTTTTGCATGAACGGAGATAGATATAAACATCTACAACACGAATACTCAAAAATAATCGGGCTCTTCGCTTCATACGAAGAACTTATCGATTCGATCAAAAAGACTACCAAGATGGTTGAGAAACAAATCGAATCATTTAGCTTCTATACTCGCCAGAAGTCGATCCGTGATTTATCCAAAGAATCAGCTTCCTTTCTCTGGTTCCAGCTGTTTAAAGATCTCATCATGCAAATGCCACCTGACCATCATGGCAAATCATCTGTTGTAGAAATGATAGCGACTTGTAAAGGAAGAGAGATTGCACAAGAGTATATTGCATTGAATAGGAAAGAGCTGCAAGAGACGAGTGTTGCTGTGATGTTTGGAATACTTCTGTGTGACATAGGACAATACGATAAAGCCCAGACGTACTTTGAGATTCTGCTGCGAAATCCAGGATTAGAGGATATTGCGTACATTCAGTCTGGCCTTGGTCTTGCTTACGCCCTCAAAGGCCAACATACTAAAGCACTGGAACTGTACGAGTGCGCGTATGAGCTCATGATGAGCTCAAGGCATCCACGTGTCAAAGAGTCAGCCAGCGTACTTCATAATATTGCAAATGTTTATCGTGTCAGAGCCCAATACGATCGCGCTTTACAATATTATGACAGAAGTCTAAAGATAAGAGAACAACATTTCCCAGCTGATCATCAACATGTTGCACTCAGTCTAACTAATATCGGTAAAACTTACGAAAATAAAGCCGAATATGAACGTGCTTTAGCATATTATGAGAGAAGTCTAAAGATAAGAGAAAAACGTTTGCCAGCTGATCATCCACATATTGCTAGTAGTCTGAATAATATTGCCGGTATTTATACCCAAAAAGGCCAGTATGATCGTGCTTTGGAATATTATAAGAGGAGTCTAAACATAACACAAAAATCTCTGCCAGCTGATCATCCAGACACTGCAACCTGTCTGAGTAATATCGGTAATGCGCATAATAATAAAGCCGAGTATGACCGTGCCTTGGAATATTATGAGAGAAGTCTAAAGATAAGAGAAAAACGTTTGCCAGCTGATCATCCAGATATTGCTAGTAGTTTCAATAATATTGCCGGTATTTATTATCGAAAAGGCGAGTATGATCCATCTTTGGAATATTATGAGAGAAGTCTAAAGACAAGAGAAAAACGCTTGCCAGCTGACCATCCAGATATTGCCAGTAGTCTGAATGATATTGCCGGTATTTATTACCAAAAAGGCGAGTATGATCGAGCTTTGGAATATTATAAGAGAAGTCTAAGTATAAGAGAAAAACGTTTGCCAGCTGACCATCCAGATACTGCTAGTAGTCTGAATAATATTGCCGGTATTTATACCCAAAAAGGCGAGTATGATCGTGCATTGCAATATTATGAGAGAAGTGTAAGGATAAGAGAAAAATCTCTGCCTCCTGATCATCCAGACATTGCCACCTGTCTGAGTAATATCGGTAATGCTTATAATAATAAAGCCGACTATGATCGTGCTTTGAAATATAACGAGAGAAGTCTAAGTATAAGAGAAAAACGTTTGCCAGCTGATCATCCAGATATTGCCAGTAGTCTGAATGATATTGCCGGTATTTACTACGAAAAAGCCGAGTATGATCGTGCTTTGCAATATTATGAGAGAAGTCTAGAGATAAGGGAAAAACGTTGGCCTGCTGATCATCCGGATATTGCTAGCAGTCTGAATAATATTGCCGGTATTTATTACCAAAAAGGCGAGTATGATCGTGCTTTGGAATATTATAAGAGAAGTCTAAAGATAAGAGAAAAACGTTTGCCAGCTGATCATCCACATATTGCTAGTAGTCTGAATAATATTGCCGGTATTTATTATCGAAAAGCCGACTATGATCGTGCTTTGCAATATAACGAGAGAAGTCTAAGTATAAGAGAAAAACGTTTGCCAGCTGATCATCCACATATTGCTAGTAGTCTGAATAATATTGCCGGTATTTATTATCGAAAAGCCGACTATGATCGTGCTTTGGAATATAACGAGAGAAGTCTAAGTATAAGAGAAAAACGTTTGCCAGCTGATCATCCAGATATTGCTAGTAGTGTGAATGATATTGCCGGTATTTATTATCGAAAAGGCGAGTATGATCGAGCTTTGGAATATTATAAGAGAAGTCTAAAGATAAGGGAAAAACGTTTGCCTGCTGATCATCCAGATATTGCCAGTAGTCTGAATAATATTGCCGGTATTTATACCCAAAAAGACGAGTATGATCCAGCTTTGGAATATTATGAGAAAAGTCTAAAGGTACGAGAAAAATCTTTGCCAGCTGATCATCCACATATTGCCAGTAGTCTGAATAATATTGTCGGTATTTATACCCAAAAAGGCGAGTATGATCGTGCTTTGGAATATTATAAGAGGAGCCTAAACATAACACAAAAATCTCTGCCAGCTGATCATCACATTGTAACCTATCTGACGAGGAAACCTCACCAACTGATACACTCCGTTTGAGCTGATATTTTGCTCATAGGCAGAAATCATAGTGTAGATAAAAGCTCTAAAAGGATTCGTCCCATTGGCTTGTTCCTGGTGAGATATAGAATTTTTAGTGAATTTTCCCTGGAGAACCCTAGTTTTTCAGCCAAATCATATCTTCGAATTTCGACTTGAAACTTAGGCCGAATGAAGTTCTAAACTAGACTAGCTTTCATAAAAAGTTTCAGAGTTTTTGGACAAAGTCTCTTCGAGTTATGAATTTTTCAAAAGATGCATGTTTTATACAGTATCGCTGAAAAAGCGCGTATAGCTTCGAAAATTGATAACTCGTAGAGACTTTGTCCAAAAGTTCTGAAACTTTTTATGAAAGCTAGTCTAGTTTAGAACTTCATTCGGCCAAAGTTTCAGGTCGAAATTCCAAGATATGATTTGACTGGAAAACTGGGGTTCTCTGGGGAAATTCACTAAAAATTCTATATCTAATTCTATATCTCGCATATTTTTAGATGAAATTTAGAATCTGCCGATGAAATTCGATGTAGATTACGATAAAATTCTAAAAAATGGAATACTAAAAAAAACAAAAAGATTTTGAGGGGGTGCCCAAAGAAAAAGCTTTTTTTTTCGCAAACTCCGATCGCAAAGTTTGTTTGTTAACGCATCATTTGGGCCTAATATCATCCTCCTTAAGTTTCATCTGGGTCCCATGCTCTGAAGTTGAGATCCAGTATACCCCAAAATCCTGGCTACGTGCCTGCCTTAGGACTTTTCTTTTAGTCTCCTCCTTCTTGTTAGATATGCTATGCACTGCCTTCGCTTAAAACGTAAACGCCCTACATACATAGCTAGAATTTCTGTAAAGTTAGGAAATATATCAGAAATTTTCTTTATATTATCATAAACTGGTGTAATAAAGAAAGTTCATCTGCTGCTCATGTCGTAGAAATACCAGTTAAATAATCTTTTCCATTTTTTTAAAGGATTTACCTCACACCAAATACATTTCTAGGTTACGGTTACTGTATATCTTCAATTCTGTAAATAATCAACCAGTGTCAGTCAATGTTTCTTCTTTTTTATACACTTACTCTCTATATTCGCTATTTTGTTCAATAAAAGAAAACTGTATTGTGAATTATTTGACAGATCTTTTATCATTAAATGTGTTTTTGCTTTTTCCTCCGTTAATGTCTATTGAATCTGGTTTTTTGACCTTTTCTATAATTTTTTTCAAATAATTGTAAGCTTATGTTGACAATATTTGTACATATTTTTATGAATGTTTCGTTGTTTTTCCTTTAATATTTCTGAATAAACATTTTTTTTTATAAAATTCGGAGTGTCTACAAAAACTTAGATTTATGATGATGGGTTTTGATCTCAAGGGCGAATCAAGAACTCTTTTATGGTATGTAGAAACTGATTTTCATGTTATTGTCCCACAATCATTTAGCTTTGATAGATATAATAAAACTGTGAAAACGATTTTGATGATACCGCTGATCCTATAGTTTTTCACAATACTAATTGCCGATAAGTTATTATCGATTTTCCATTTGTTTACGATTACTCGTGAAGTGTATTCATTTTCGAAAGATAAAGTATTTAGCCCTTTGAAGGGACTGGCATTTATTAATGAGGTTATTATGATTTAACAACATTTATTTAAGTTGATGCTTTATGGAACAACTCAAACTTATTTATTTGTTTTTTTCTATTCAGATGAATAAACAAGATTGGTCTAATTTTCCCGAAGTTCAACAAGGTCTTAGTTATTGTTTCTAAAGTAATGCATCGTCACAAATATGTATCAATTCCGCGTCTTAAAAAGTTAACCGGTGACCTCATCAGCCATCATGAAGATAAAGCAAATTTTTTGAAGGATCATTTCACATTTGTATGCCCGATAGGTAACACTGATGATAATATAATTGTACAATTAAGGAAAACAAATAAAAAGCTTAGTATCATCAATGTTTCTCTAATTAATGTTGTAAACATATTGACTAAATTATCACCGTCTAAAGCAACAGCATCGAGTATATCTAATAGTATATTACGATAATTTGCTTCTCTCTGCTTTATTCTGGCATATGGCTTTTCGTGTTCTCTAGAAAGTGGAGAGATAAGCCAGAATAAGCAAAGCAGAGAGAAGAAGCAAATTATTTTAAATTACCCGTTACTGTTGCTTTGGACGGTGATAATTTAGTCAATATGTTTACAACATTAATTGGAGAAATATTGATGATACCAAGCTTTTTATTTGTTTTCCTTAATTTAACAGTTATATTATCACGGGTGGTACCTATAGGGCAATTCAATTAATTTGAATTAATTTAAAGGATAAGAATATTCGGACTCATTTGAAATAAATTAATTTAAACTAATTTCGACTATTAAATTTATATAAATTCAATAAAATCTTTCCTTTATCAGCTAAATGTGTATATTGGTTTGAGAAAGAAGTGACCGGAGGTATTTTCTGCAGCACGAGGTTTTTATTCAGGCCTGCAAGAATAAGGTAAATTATGGTCAGTTTTTGTCTTTCCACTAATACTTAGAAAGAAAAATAGCAAGTGCTTTCGACTAGTGTTGGAAAGCGAAGAAAACATGTCTGTTCGAATTTTGATCGTAATATATTGTTAGTTTTTCTATCAAATTTTGTGGCTTCAAATACAATTGATTGTTCGTCAATAATCGTCCGATACAATCGGTTTTATTTTTCTGTTCGGGTAGAGTATCAATAGAAAATCGAGTATTTTTTATATAAAGTACTTCAAACAACTTCGAGACTACAAATTAATTTAAACTAATTTTCAATATCAAGTTGGTGTATATTATTTTTTGTTAAATCCGTTGAAACTAACTTTTGATTGCAAATGAATTTCAATCAACAAATTCATTCAAATTGACTTAAAGAAAAATAATATACATCAACTTGATATTGAAAATTAGTTTAAATTAATTTGTAGATTCAAATTTGTTTGAAGTGCTTTAAAAAAAATTGGTTTCTACTAGTTTCTATTTATAAATTAGTTCAAATAAATTTCTATTAACAAATTCTAATTTTGATTAACAATCGGACATCGTAAAAAGTTTAACATAATCATCTTGTTCGTAACAGCATACTATTAAATACATACATGTGTACTTTAGAAAATGTGTACTATATATAGTACACACAGTTTCATTCGAGGTTACAGTTTTTATCAGTGAACTGCGTACTGACTGTTTCCGTTTTGTGGAAAAATTTTTGAAAACAATTTCACCAAATTTTCAATTCAAAGGACCAACTATTTAATCAGCTATACGTAGCTGATTCACTTATTTTTGTTGGAAATTAGTCTCTTGTAGCCTACATAGTTGGGAGCAAACGACTAAAAATGCCGTTCTCACGTATCACAGTGGACATTTTTCTAAACATGCTTTTCCTCCTTCGGATGTTTTCATATAAACATTTCATACTCAAAGTAGGAAGTCGTTGGAAAAAAGAGAAGAACAAAAAGAATGGGTCCCATGTCAAAATTTCGAGAGTTTTTTTTGCAGAAAATTGCAAAAATTCAGATCCGTTGTTTTGCAAAAACCTGTAGTAAAATTTCCGTGTCTCACGTAACATCACACGCACGAATCTTATTCTGCGTTTTTCTACAGACACAAAAATTTCTGTGATAAAACGCAAAAAAATATCATCATTTTTATGCATGAAATATTATTGTCTGTAATTACAACAATAAAACTTCATGAGTTTCTCGGACAATTATCGGGCAGGTTCATCGAACCCGACCCCAGGCAAGCCTCGTGGCTCACCCCCAGGTCTGCAGGCAGCAAAACGTGGTCTGCTGCCCGCAGTCTCCTCCAAGCTACGGGGAGCCACTTAGAAAGATTTCTAAGTAAATTTTCAATAGAAAAGGACTATTTATATCAATACACAGTTGCACATATTCCGCTTTTTCAAATGATATACTATTTACGGTGACTCATCGATGAGTCATCACAATGACTCACCGTTTTTCTTGCGATGTTAAACCAAAAAATATTTTTGCAAAATTGTATTGCAAAATCACACGCAGTATAATACAAAAAAAGATTCTGCGATAAACGACAAAAAAGTATCGTTTTTCTGTTTGTTTTTGCGTGAAAAAATACAATGCAAGAAAACGCATATACGAATAATGCGTTATCTGGTGTTGCGTTAGTGTGGCCTAAAAAGTGCCAAAAAACGCACTTTTCTGCAGAAATCGTGAAAAAAATTTGACATGGGGTACTAGAGCTGCGACAAATAGCGATTTGCTATGTTTGTTATAACGTGAATAAGAAAAGAAAAGCAAATCGCTATTTGTCGCAGCTCTAGTGCCCATTCTTTTTGTTCTTCTCTTTTTTCCAACGACTTCATACTTTGAGTATGAAATGTTTATATGAAAACATCCGAAGGAGGAAAAGCATGTTTAGAAATAATCGCAAATGAGACTGAAATAACAGCGTCATTCGTTTTATCCGTTACCTCAAGAAAAAGTAGATGATATAATAGCTATTCTGGACACCTGGCAGATAAAAAGTATTGCCGCGTTCTCAGAGCCTCTACGAACCACTAGCCAGAAATGCTCCAACAACGTCTCAATATTATTAAGAAAAGTATAACCAAAGCAGCGGTTTTAATCATTTTGAATTTCCAACGTTTCGATTTATTAAAAAATCATTGTCCAATGATTTTTTAATAAATCGAAACGTTGGAAATTCAAAATGATTAAAACCGCTGCTTTGGTTATACTTTTCTTAATGAAAACTCTACCAATTACATACAAAAACGTCTCAATAGATCGAGCGCTGAAGAAGCACTGCGACCTGCTGACCATAATTCGCCGGACAGACAACGAGGACGAGAACATTCGACTGATATATTTGCAAGGGGGAAACAGCGGACTCCTGGACTCCTATGGACTCCTGGGACTCCTTTGGACTCCTATGGACTCCTGGACTCTTGAAGTCCAGGAGTCGAAGAACAAAGTGTTCTTTTT